ACAGAAAACGACTGCGTACTAGTGCACATTTCACCAAAATCTCACGTAACACGCTTCAACATCTGCCATGTCTAATGTCATGACTGGAGATCCGCAGGGTTCGCGAGGGTCGGGACCACCGGCTCTGATAAAGCTTTATATTAAGTAGCAGCTAAAATTAAAAACTGGTGTGCAATAGCAAGTTGGGACCCAGAAAGGACCTGGACGGCTGAATGGATCGCCGATACGCGCGGAGACTTATTTCACGCATCCATAATTGTCGGCAAACCTGAACAATGGGTCACAATGGGCCGAGACATTTGCAAAAACACTCGCTAAAATACGTGCTCTCTTGGCTCCTGGCCCTTCACCGCAAGATGCCGTCCAGCCTCTGCCATCTCAGAATTCGCGAATGAGTGCCAGCTGTGCGGAACGAAGGAAGAGGTACCGTCGAGAGAAGACAGGCATTGTCCGACCTCACAGGCACAGGTTTGCGCCATCCAAAGGAGCGGCAACGACCAGCTCTGACGCATTCTGCGCACAGCAGTGTGGAACTTAGCTCAGTACAGTGTGTCTGGTGCACAGCATAGAGCACAGTAGCAGCACAGCATGTCTGTGAAGAAGCCGTAACAGTGGGACGACTTCAACGTAGACAGCTCCAGCGGATGTTGCGCTTTCCTGCAGTCTGATGACCGGTTGACCAGGGAAGCCACAGGATTGAGTCATCCATCCTTCCTCCTAAGCTTCATTTCATCCGAGACACTTGTGACGCTAGACACAGAATTGCGGACCCACTATTGGGTGAAATACTGGGCTTTGGTGCCTTAATGGTAGACGTACTCACCCGGAACCATCGATTCAAAAACACAAACAAAACGGTCAAAACGCTCACGGGGACGCCGGGTCGAATCCTCTCCGCTACCCCGGCTACCTTAGCATCGTCTTCAGAGTCGCTTCCTTCTCGGTCGCCGCCCGGCGGCGCCAGCGGCCGTGTACCGGCCGACGCCGGCGGACGCCGCCGGCCCTCCGCTCGGAGTGCCCGGCGCTGCGCCGCCCGTGGCCCTCCCGCTGCCAACTCACGCCGCTAGAAATAGCTGTGATTACGGAGACGCAGTCGAAATAGGCCGGTGTAGCCTTTGCTTGAGTTACAGGTCGTATTGTGTCGCCTTCAGCACTCAGGACGACCCCAGGGGGCACCCTGCCCGGAAACGGGCCGCGTAAAGCCTGACGACCGACGACATAAACTGGTGACTACGTGTGGATTAGCATACAGCGTCCGTATGACGCGGAGCATGGCTAAACTTCCAGCATACGCGTCGGGGATCTTGGAGTTTTGATAGCTCTGCGCAACATTTGTGCAGCAGCACGTTAATGTATTGAGCATGTCCTGGAACGGCCTTGCCCAACTCTGAAACAAAATTACACCCTCAGGTTTCAGAAAAAATAGCACAACTATTGCTCGACTGGGTCGCCAAGATATGGACACATTGTGCCACACCAAGTAGCGCATAAACAGATTCAAAGTAACCAAATTCTACCCAACGCCAGAAAGACAGTGGCAAAATTAATTGAATTTCATCTCCATAAACATGCGAAGTGCATACAACCTTGACTCGCACAGCCGAGCCGGGTTATTTCGGAACGGCGTCGGGGTAGCAGTCGAAACGCTGGGCTGCCCTTCATACAACTCCCAGCAGCCGAGCAACATCCGTCGTTTTGGAATTCGACGAATGTCAAACATGCCACACAAAACGGTCTGATCTTCACACGCGAGCCGTGTTTCCGGCTCCTAACACGCAACAACATTTCGGAGGTGTTGGCACCAGGAGCGGTTTAGCTGCGCACCTCTCAAGCTAGCTGTGCGGTCATGTGCTCCGCGATTGTTGCGCGACGACAGCTATCATAAGCACAAGATCGTCTGAAACTGAGTCAACAAGCGCTGCTATTCCAAGCTTTTCAATGTGTATTGACTGGAAGAAACACGCCCACTCGACTCGCATCTAAAAAGAAAAAAATGACCGAACCAACCACCCCAGCGCAGTTTCTTCTACGCAGGGCTCTATGCGTGGATGTCCGCATCGCAATAATGTTTTGCGCAATATTTTGTGCAGCACTGTCTCCTCGGCATATCCTTAACTTGTGAAAATCCGTGCGCAGCCCATACACGCAGAACTTTGCAACCGTAGATGCTTGCTACCAAGTTTTTTAAACTGTCCTAGATGTCGTATTAACCTGATATAAGGACAAAAAGCCTTCAGGTCCTTGTTTTCCGACATTTTGAGTTCTGAGCCTTCATAGTGAGCTATCCACTTTCATTATACTACAAGGTACTCGTAAAAGCCCAGCCTGAACCATCGAGTTCTGGTTATGTAGCCATTGTTTGACCAGTGGACGTAATTTAATCAGTACCTTCTCGTATATTGAAGGTTGATAGCTCCACATAAGAGCGCTAAGCTCATAATCGCGTGTTAGTAATACCCCCCCCCCCCCCCCCCCCCACCCACCCCTTCCCCGTCCAGACAATATCGCACCGCGTTGCTCCGTATACACAAATGAAATCGCATTGTCTCGTAGGCGCAAACATTCGAATCGCGCTTGTTCGTGTGCATGATCTTTTCGTGATTTGTTCAGATGCAAAGCCATCCCACCGCATTTCTGTGGATTGCGGTTTGCGTGGATTGCGAATTCTGTGGGTTGCGGTTTTCTGCGGATTGCGGTTTTCTGTGGATTGCGCATCGCATTTCTGCGGAGTGCATGCGCATTTGTTTTAAAGCGCGTGTCTTCTCCCGCGCACTTGTCCGTCGAATTTCGTCGTGAGCGCAATTCTGTGCATGTATCTTCCACGCATAGGCATAGTCTCGTAAGTATATACACTGGATTATTAACATACCGTGTACAAACAGTTTGTATCGCACTAATTTGATCATGTTCTGGGAAAGTGAAAAAGGCCTTGATGGGCAGGAAGTACCTATTCAGCACGCGGTAGTCACGGCGTTGGCTCGGGCCTTACGCACATGGTTCTGCTCGGTGTTAACTGTTGACTGGTGGTCCTAGTCAGTGATACTTCAGCTGCATAGGGGCGTATTCAAAGGGTGTATTCAAGAGGCGTATTCAAAGGACGTATTCAGGGCGCCTGGCGCGGGCCCTTTATCAAATTCCTTGCATGGCTGCATTCTGATGAGCAAATGCTTACGAAAAACATAGAGGCAGGCACGTAAAAATGTGTGGGATGCAAGCATGGGATATTTACGTCATGAAAAAATTGAAGTGCCTTTGGCGCACTCAAGTTGATTTTGGCCATGACGTAAGCGTACTTACCAACTAATTTCATTCACACGCATCTAGTAGCAAAGTTGGACATGACATTCGCTGATTGACAAGCTTCTGAGCCCTGCTATCATTATTTTCACGATTTGGCGGAGGCCGTCCGTCGAGACTGCCGGGACGCTGGAGAGACTGTCACAGAATCTCCCGGCACTGATGAGATCAGCTGTCATACTGTCGCGATGCTGAAGGAACTGTCGAGACTGTCTGCGATATGCCGTCGTCATACTCAGGAGACTGTCTGCCAGATGCTGTGGTGACGCTCATGAGACTGCCAGTCGCGACCGGGACCATTCGAACAGACTGAAAGCGTGACCCGACCAGACCGGAAGCGTGACCTGACCAGACCGGAAATGTGGCTCGAGCAGGCCGGAAGCGTGGCTCGACCAGACCGGAGGCGTGGCTCGACCAGATCGGAAGCGTGGCTCGACCAGACCGGAAACGTGACCCGACCACATCGGAAGCGTGACCCGACCAGACCGGAAGCGTGGCTCGACCAGACCGGAAGCGTGACCGACCGGTCCGGAAGCGTGACCCGACCAGACCGGAAGCGTGACCCGACCAGTCCGGAAGCGTGGCTCGACCAGACCGGAAGCGTGACCCGACCAGTCCGGAAGCGTGGCTCGACCAGACCGGAAGCGTGACCCGACCAGTCCGGAAGCGTGACCCGACCAGACCGGAAGCGTGGCTCGACCAGACCGGAAGCGTGACCCGACCAGTCCGGAAGCGTGACCCGACCAGACCGGAAGCGTGACCCGACCAGTCCGGAAGCGTGGCTCGACCAGACCGGAAGCGTGACCCGACCAGTCCGGAAGCGTGGCTCGACCAGACCGGAAGCGTGACCCGACCAGACCGGAAGCGTGACCGACCAGTCCGGAGGCGTGACCCGACCAGACCGGAAGCGTGACCCGACCAGTCCGGCGAGTGACCTAAGTAGCCTCGCGAGACGACAGATCCCGTCACGACCCCGCCAAATGCGGGCGGAAGCGGCGCGTCTGAAGTTCCGGCGCGCAGCTGCAGCCGCAGCGACGCTTCCGCGCCGATAGGACGCTTCCTGAGCTGGCCGGCGCTCGCTCGCCCACCAGCCATCTCAGCAGACCAGACCAGCGGTGACAGCGTCCACCCTCCGCGGCCGGGTGAAGATGACTGTGCGAGACGCATTATGTGACCGGTCGGAGCAAATACCGCTGATGGATCAGCCACTAGAAGATGTTTTGCTAGTCATTTGATATTGACATGCTGCACTACATTTTACAAGACTGCGCATCTGCTTGTTAAGTAAGTATAGGTGTTTCCGCCAGCGTAACCCGTTTAGCCTATCTTTAAAGCCACACCCCGCAGATTACCCTTTTGTATTAAACATCTAAGTTTAACGCTGATTCTCGCCTGCTCTGATTGGCTGTAATGCTAAAACATGTGCTGACAAGTGATGCTAAAACTTGTGGCATTACATGCTAGCTCATTTTGTGCATTTTGTAGCTGCTTCCCCCGTCGCCAAATTGCCGGAACAAATCTGGAGAACATGTATAAATCAACAGTTTGCAATCACTGCAAGCAGCGTGCATACTGCTTATACTGTGGACTGCATTAATTACACCGTGCAGACTGCTGATGCTGTGGGGTGCAGTGATTACAACGCGCAGCAGTTGACCCGTGGCTACACGGCACGAGCCGCCCGCCGCGCGGCGTCCACTGACCTCCACGGGTGGTGCGTAAAGCCCGGACACTTGTCATGGCAGCTGAGGCACGGCTGGCCGCTGTCGGCCTCCGAGATGACCACGCTCTGAAATCAGACGAGCCCGTCACTGATCCGCACGGCTCGACTCAGCTCGGCGCAGCGGCTCTGAACCGCCGCAGCGCGGCGGCGGCGGCTGGTGCTGACCTGCGCCGGGCGCTGCTGTCAGCCCGGGCGGGGGTCAGAGACATACAGCACGGTGACAGACTCTCGCCGCACCAGCCGCGTGTCGGACAAGGCTCCACGGCTGGAGCCCTCACCAGCTCGGCCAGAGTCCAGCTGCCGTGCGGCTGCCGGCCGGCGGTCTCCGACGGGGTGGGACCGAGGCCGGGCGCCGGCCGGCCCGCTCGGCGGGTCTGACAGATTGGGGCTCGGCCGGCTGTGACACGCTCCGCCGCAGGACATCATCACCCTCCTGGGACGGATCCCGGGACGTGTCGCGACGCTACAGCCGAGGGGGGCGGGGCAGGGGGGGGGGCGCTCGAGGCGGGGAGGAGGTCGTCCCGGAGAGGGTGTGGCACGGTGAACGCGCGGCAGCGCGGCGCGAGCGGCGCGACCCACGGCGGTGCGACTCTGCGCTCGAGAGGCGCCGAGTCACGTGGGCCACGCGCGCTTCACCGCATGAAAATGCGACGGCATCACGACAATCAGCATGAGTGCAGCGTTGACACAGTAACACAGTCACATGGACAACGGTCCGCAAAAACAACACAGCACTGACATGAAAAGGGCCGACTAAGACTAAGGAAAGTATCGTTACCCGATGAGGCGAAATACAAATCGCAGTTTCCCAGTAACAAGCGACTACATTCCTCGATTCGTTTTCCACACGCGTCCGCGCCCCGGGCAGGCCGGTGCCTCCGAGCTTACAGCGCCAGGCCGTGCGTGATACGCTCCTGCCACGGATTCTGCGACGTCAGAGGGCCGCCCGTGAAACGACGATAATTAATTAAACCCGCTTGAACTCGCCCCAAGCCCAACACCACTGACGCGGTGAGTAAAATGAGTCTGAAGGGCGCGTGGGACGTCGGCAGTGAGCCATGCCTAACTCACGGCGATGCGTATGTGTTTGCACCGATAAACACTTCATCGGACGGCGCGTGGATTCTGTGAGGACAGACTTCCCGGATAGCGTTGAAACGCGGTGCGTTTCCGTTGCCGCAGCGGGTCATAAGCTAGCGTCACATGCATGCAAGCCGAGAATGCAGACTCGCGGGGTAAGTGCATCGTGATTTTTAAGGACTGGACAGCAGACCACGCGAAGTCATCAAGTTAAGTGCATTGCCACTCTCGTTTCGGAGGGAGCAATTTGGAGCATTACTGATCAAGTTGTCAAATAAATATTGTACGCCTTCAGCCAAGCCATGCGGTCAGGGGGTATTTCATTGTCATTGGCCTGACAGCAATAGCCTCAGTAATCCCGTTTGCAAACCTGAACATGTTTAGATGCCTTGTGAGCTGGAGTGAAGAGACGATACAGTCACTGTCTTATTAATATGCACTTACATTGGAGACGATACGGTGTATGTAAATGCACAGACCTAGACGAGAGCACAATGCACACCTACAGATACATCGTGCGTCACAGACGCTCCCCAACACCCTCATCTGTTCCTTGCCGCTCGCCATGCTCCCTCGGCCCATTCGAAGCTAGCTTCCGCCAGCTCCGCTCGATAGGTGGCAGCACCGGTCAGGCGGCCCGCCTGGCGGCCAGACCAGCGCGCCGCGACCGTCGACAAGCCGCAGGGCACCGTCGACGGATGCGGCGCGCCATCTGTCCGTCGGGCCCGATGGGAGGTGACAGCGCCCGCCAGCCTTCAATATGGCCTTTATTACGGGCCTATTTATAGCGTGCGCTGTTTGATTTCCATCGCGTCTGTCGTCGGCCGCCCAGCTTCGGCCACGCGCGCCTATCGGCCTTTTATAATGGCCATCGACGGCGTGTCAACGTGTTTCGACGCGGCACGCAAACACGTGTAAAAGGAGGGCAAACGGGCCAATGTAACTGGAGAGCGCATGCAAATAGGCGAAACAAGACACAGTCGGCTGTGGGAGCGCAGCAGATGGCGCAGACGACTGAGGCAGACGCGGCGCAGACGACAGCGGAAGTGGGCCAGCGGGGGCGCGGTCAGGTGCCGCGCGCAGCGATCGGAGGCAGTAGGACGCCTGCCTTTGGAGGACGCGAAGGAAGGGGCCTGGGCAGCACTTGACAGGACTCCCGAAACAAGAGCTGGAGTGAGGCTGGCGGCTCTGTTGATCATCGCTCACTGTTATGGCTGGTCAGACAGGATGTGATGTGCACAAGACGTATGCGAGCATCCTGAGAGACGTGACGACAAAATACAAAAGAAGCAACACTGCATACACAAACTGTTTTTTTTCAATAAGCGGGGATGGAATCCATAAACGAATGCCCTAGACGGTTCGCCTACATGTAACGTGAGGAGAGTTAAGTCACATGGGTGAAAACAGAGTATAGCTTTAGATAAATATAGCAAGATAAAGACATCAATTAAGAGTGGCGGATTAAGACCGTATATTAAGAGACGGACAACTCCTCAACGCAGGGTACCAATCACTTAAAAGATCCGGCCCCAAGAAGGGAGCATTGCCGTCCTTTTCATATTGAGATAATGAGCACGGATATGCACTGCGTCCTGCTGACGCTGACGTCTTGTAGAAAATCATGCAAATCAAACCAAATGCTCAAAATACGCAGAAAGTTCGTTTTTGATAATGCATAAGTGCGAATCTCGTCCTTCCTCCATTCATGCTCAGCAGGTGATACGCAGCGAGGGGGGACGGAGTGGCAGAGCTTCACAAACTTTAAAAGCGTATCATTGAGTATGCGGGTAAGCGCTGCAAGTGAATAAACAGCTTAAAGCCCTTGCTATTCAGCCTCCAGCTTTTGCCTCGAGGCACAGCCTCTGCAGACCGATGTGGACGCTTTAAGCACGCGACCGGACCAAACCGGACCAAACCGGACCAAACCGCTTCGCATTGCCGAGGACCACTACTCGGGTCGGGGGGAGGGGGTTTTCCTCGGGGCCCTCCAGAACTAGAGTCCCTTGGAGGCCACAATAGCCCGGATCCGAGCACCAGAGCTTCCAACATCCACGGCCGTCACGGTGACAGCTCGGTCTCAGCAGGCACAGCGACGGCATGGGAAGCGCCATTAGAGCAGCCGTGGCGCGCGGTGAGCAGCTCATGCTTCGTGCAACAGTTTGCTACGTGACTTGGGTTAAGGAGACCGCGGTCGGGTTCAAGCCGCCACAGCTATTCTTCAACATGCACCCTGCAGATTTGGCACGCCTCGGCGTGGGCCTCTACGGCGGCGCAGGCCTCTGCGGCATTGCGTAGCAACGCGGGTCTCTGCGACCGTCGCGCAGGGACGCGGGCCTCTGCGACCGTCGCGCAGCGGCGCGGGCCTCTGCGACCGTCGCACAACGGCGCGGGCCTCTGCGACCGTCGCGCAGCGGCACGGGCCTCTGCGGCGTCGCGCAGCACGGCGGAGCTAGACCTCCAGCGGGCTCTGGTTGCAACCATTTCAACCGAGCGTGTCGGTGTCTTTGTCCAATTTTCAGGGCTGTGTCATGTCCTGAAGCTTGAGCTCGACGTCATCGGCTTCCGCTGCGTTTACTCGGGCCTGCACAATGATACAAGTTAATCTAGACCTGATCGTAGCATTAAGCACTAAATGGCAACGTTTCGGCTGCGCCGAGTGTAAAAGCCGAAGAGGCTTCAAGACAATCTGTAGGCGGGGGCTAAACAGGACTTAAGACAGATATTAATCAGGTAAGAGGATTCGTATTTTCTCAAGACTCAGCCAAATGCTGAGCTTGCATGAAAACCTTAGTGCTTGCGTCGAAACAGTTTCCTTAAGTCACATTCCAAGATAAGAGACCATCATCAAAAGTGAAAACGCCATCAAACATTTGTGCGGCACTGTACCTTGGCCACTTTTTCCGTCTACGACGGCAGTCCTAACCAGTTCGTCAGGAGATATGTAGGTAAATGCCTAAGGAAACTGTCATTTCACTGCTAACGTTACTGCGGCCTGGTCGTCCCTGAACCCGCAAGGATCGCCACGGGCATGATGCACTGGATCACATTGCAGCCTGGCACGCAAAAGCACCGATCGCGGCAGTTAATGCATGCGTTAATGTTGCCGGATGTCGGGTGCTGCTGGCCGGACGTCACTCGGTCCGGTCGCTGTAACCTCACGCTGAAGATCTAGTCTTCATCTTATTGAGTTTAGGCTGATAACTGCACCTAGCTGATCTCACCGACGTCCATGCTCGGCCTATGGCATGGTGTCAGCGAGCCCCCGTCCAGCTTACCATTACCACGTGCCGCACGCGCACCGCGGGGCATTCAACTCGCGCGCCCGGCATTTCGAAGCTCCATTTACAAGTCACTCGCGGACCATAGCCGTGCCACCAGAAATGTGACATGCATGGCTATGACTGACAACGGCGCCAGCCCGTGACACTATAACGTGACAATATTATAACGGCATCGGGCCGTGATTGAGCAGTTCGCAGGCGTGATGCACAGCGCTCACCGCAGCTCCGGTGCCGGCGGTGCTGCTGCACGACCCGCCTCCTAATCCCTGGTATCTGGCAGGAATCAATAAGTGTCGGATCCTGATCGCCAGTTTGCCAGCCGGCCTCCGACTGTGTCGACGCCAGCCGCCGGCTCGCGCCTCACGTGCAGTGCGTTACGGCGCCTGTGGCGCCCCGCGGTCGGCCCGTCACACCTGCGTCACGCAGCTCTCAAGTCACGGAGGTCACGTGCCTCGGCGGCCCCGGTCGTCACGCCACACGCAGCGGCGCCGACACCGGAGAACCCGAGCTGACAGCCCTCGCCGGCTCATCCCGGACTCGCCCCCCCCCCCCGCTCCCTGACGGGTGGGGGGGGGGGGGCAGGCTGACGCTCTCACTCACGGGTATGACGAGCTCTCGGGCGTGCGAGGCCGGCTGGACACCGTTGGACGCCGATTGGACACTCGCGGCCGGCGAGCAGACACTCGTGGCCGGCGGCTGGACACTCATCGTGGCGGCGGAGCGTCAGCAAGCGCCGCGCTCGCGCAGACCCCGAGTCGGCCGCCTCGTGGCCCTGCAGCCGCGCTCACCGGCCACCCGCGGACACTGGCGCCGTGTCAGGCTGCGGTGCCGCCTCACCAACACTGCGCCGGCAGCGGCGGCCCTGTGCGCCGCCCGGCACCGGCGGCGGCGTCGGGTCCGGCTGACGCGCCGCTCGACGCCGCCCGCTGCGGTCCGGTCCGGCGGACACTGCGCCACCTGTCCGGCGGAGATCTGCTCGACCGGAGGGACTGGCGGTTGGCAGACACTGCGTGATCACTGGGCTGAGCTTCTGCCGCCTCGCCGCGGTGTGTTCCTCCCACGACCACCGCAGCGCCGGGGAGACTCGGACTGCACCGAGGCCGGACTTCCGGTCTCGCCGCGTCTCAGGGCACCGGATGTCCTCTGCGCTGTTGCGCCCCGGACAGCGTAATCACGTCTCTAGGACAAAGCACCCGTCACTCACGGCCGGTATACTCGTAGCCCATGGGCAGGGCACTCCTGGCTCACAGAGCACTCCCACCTCGCACTGTCGCACGGGCCTCACGGCAGCGGCACACCGCTCCGTCCCTCGCCGCCTCCGGTTGGGCTGGGCGCGCCGCCGGCGGCCGCGGGGTGCGCACTCCGCAGCCGGGGACGCTGGACGGCCGTCCGCGCGGTCTGCCTCGGCAGGGAGCGCAGCCGGCCCGTGCACGCCGCGCAGCGGCCCGGCGGAGGGCGCACCGGCTGCCGATGCGGGTCCTGGCCCCCGTCGGCGGACACCGCGCCGCCCGTAGCCTGTGCTCGTCGCCCGCGCGCCGCCTGCGAACACCGTCCGTTGTCTGTGCTCGCCGCCCACGCGCCGCCCGCGAACACCGCGTGCCGTCTGCCCGCCGGCAGCGATCGGCGCTCCTGGCGGGCCGGCTCCGGCTTCCGCAGGATACGCTCTGACCGCTGCGTGACGTCAGAGGATTGTCACAACGCGCGCGCGCGGCGCCTCGTCCCCCCCCCCCCCCTTGCGCGACAGATTTTCCGTGGCATTAAAACTGGGCGGGCGACCGTCAACGGGCTGTCGGCGGCGGGATCTTGAATGGCAATGCGCCAGTGCTGTGGCCGACCGAGAGCTCTTTCGTGCGGGGCTGCGCTGGGAGGCAGTGGAAGCTCAGGGCAGCAATCCGGACCGAGGCCGGGCGCGAGGGCTGGGCACGGAACCGCTGTTAGACTGTGATACTCGTGACTCCTGATGGTCTCTCCGCGTCAAACTAGACCGCCCGACTGCACCGTGGTCTGCTCCAGTTAGGGACCGCATGACGCGAACGCACCCGTCAAAATCTGCGCAGCCTCCGGCACCGACCTAAATTGTACGCGGCACCGTAGCAGACGTCAGGCTCTGGCATGTTTGCGACATTGGATGGTTGCTCCCCATTGTCGTAAATTGTCCAGAAATACCGGCCGGATTAGAACATCTCCGCAGCGATATAGGCATGATCCCGGCATGAAAGGGATATTTAGTGCATTATGCATGACATTGCGAAGAGAATCCTTACCAAGTCGTCCCTGCTACGATATCTCTCTCTACTGAGGAAACGGTTGGCAATTCGACAGATCTTCCCTCATTGTGGAAAGGCGACCTGGCTCAGCCCAGTCGCGGGGAGGAAGCCAGCGGAAAAGGCCCCGGCCGCGGGAAGGAAGCTCAGCGGAAAAGGCCCCGGCTGCGGGAAGGAAGCTCAGCGGAAAAGGCCCCGGCCGCGGGAAGGAAGCTCAGCGGAAAAGGCCCCGGCCGCGGGAAGGAAGCTCAGCGGAAACGACCCCGGCCGCGTGCCCGACTTCTTGATTCCCTGACCGAAGTAAACCGAGCATGCAGCTCAGCTCAGCCTTCTTTCAAAGGAGTAAGGAGCGTCCTGGTAGGTGTCGTACGCACTCGACTTACTCGCGTCATTTCTGAATGGCGGTGATGTCTCGGCCATAAAACGTCTGGCACACTCGTGAACGCACCTTCATGCGCTGGGCCGACTTGGACTCAAAGATCGCCCGCTCACGTGGGTGTTTATCCGAAATTTTGGCGACTTAAGCGGATATCGGTCTATCATTCAACGCATTGTGTTGCATCACATCGTTTGGATGATATTGTGAGCAGTGTGCGAAATACGGATAACCCATGCAAGGCTTTTGATAGCCTGCCACAGCGCCACAGGCCAGGCTCTCGTGAGTATGCTAATACCTCCGTTTAATGGCGAGACGTTTAGGCATCATCGCTGTCCTAAAAAGGAAACACTCGTGGGGCGGAGTGTCGGGTTAGTTCGGCGGGTGCGCCGAAGTGATCCAGTGCGCCGATCTGTTGAGTGATCCAGTGCACCGAACTGCTGCGTGATCCAGCGCGCCCGCTGCCTCAGCCCGCCTCGTGACGTGTACTGGATATTTTGAAGCCGCGGGCATCGTGAGATATTGTTGAAAGGCTGTGGTCCTTCATGACCTGCTGGGGGGGGGGGGGGGGGAGATGCGAAGGGGATCCTGGGTGCCCATCGCTGCGAGGTTTGACTGAGTGGATGATGACCTGGTTCTCTATAGGCGGCACAGACCGAGCGGCTGCGTGCGCAGTAAGCCGCACCACCGGACCATACGGCTGCTGAAACGGTGCAAAACGCACGCAAGGAAGTTCTTTTTGTGTAAAATGATCTTCTTGTCGCGCATGCAGTTCCATCTAGTGACCACAGATGGACGGTTCCCGGACTTTTAATCAAGCTCTCGTAATGGCCTATATTCATAACAGCACGTCGTAATGGAATTTGCCAGACTGTATTTCGCGATGCCGTGGATGGAAATCTGCTGTTCACGTTATTCATTTCAGCAACACAGAAACAAAAAACAAATAAAGCGACTTAGCGATTTCATCTTGAATAATCCATCATCTCCGCTAGAAAGGGGATCTGAACGGCGAACCATGTCCACGTCCACACGAAGACGAATGAGGATGTAATGTCGCTAATGCATTTTGAAATCCGATACGTCGGCACACTGTTGGAACGATGATGAATCGAGCAAATAACACGTTTGTGTTATTTGCTTAACTAGACGCGTGCAGAACGGTATAGGCCCACGTCGATGCAAATATCCGCATTTTTGGAATTGCACGATTCCTGCATGGGCCTGCGGGCGTTTGAGTTAGATCTGGAAATACAATGTAAATTACATGCACTCGGGCCGTTTGGAAAACTGTTCCAGCTGCTGGATCAAAAGCCGACGCCCAGCAAAAAAAATCAACAGAAAGTAGCGAAGTGCAAACTGTTTTCGGTTGAGCGTCCATCGGCACTTGAAACGCCTTGATTCTAAGCGACAGAGAAAAGCTGTTTGTCTTCGAATCTTACGGTGGAAAAAGGAGCTTCAGACAAGCCTGCTGCACGCAAACATTTCCTGACAAACAAAAAAAAAACGGTAACGGAGAGCGGAGAACTTCCGAACTCATCTAGGCGCGCCAATGGGAGGCAGATCAATAGATCGATTCTTCCCGGCAACAATGAACGTTTGCCTGTTTTTTCATCTCAAACTTCCGCGCTCTTTACCACGACCACCACGCGAGCCAACAACAAATGAAAAGAATTGGTTTGGCTTTGTTACTGAACATTCGGCCCCGTCGATTAAACTCTAACGAAAGATAACGATAACAAACAAACAGAGCGTTTAAAAAGTCGAATGGCTCCAGCCGGACAGAGGAGAGAGAGAGAGAGAGAGAGAGAGAGAGAGAGAGAGAGAGGAGAGGAGAGAGAAGAGAGGGTATCTATAGAGAGTAATATAAGGATAGAGAGATAGAGAGAGAGAGGAGAGAGAAGAGAGAGAGAGAGAGAGAGAATCTCTCTCTCTCGTCTCTCTCTCCTCTCTCTCTCCCTCTCTCTCTTCTCTCTCTCTCTCTCTCCTCAATCTCTATCTCTCTCTTATTCTCTCTCTATATATATATATATTATATATATATCTATATATATATATATGGGAAAGAAAGCACTGCTCTCAGCCTACACAGACGTTTATAGATGGAGTACCTCCTCGGGCTCAGATGCATGTCGTGACGTTGTGTTTCACGCTCTGCATTATGCCCCCCCCCCCCCCCTCTTCCAAAGTCCTCATCCAGCACGCACGCACAGCGCGTTGTCAATGATGCTTTCTCCGACTTTTTGTGGTATATTCTTAGATACAAAATATTGTTATGACTTCAAAATAAGTACACCACTGCAAGGATATGCAACAAGTGCCCGCAATGGTGCTCAGTGCAGACTCTGTGAAAGCCTTGCAAAAATGATCAATGAATGCCATGCACATATTTAAATTGATCGTAAATGCTATTCAAGTTCGCGGCGGATTAGTCATTAGTTCCAGCCGAAAACGTTGCTCTAATTCAAGCAAGGTTCGCGTGTGGTAGATTTAAAGTTGGAACAGCCTCCACGACTTTGTTTTGTTTTGTTTCATGGCTGCTGCACATAAACACATCGGATCAGAAACCGCTCAGTCATGCTTGTCACGCCCCACTATCCAGCAAAACTCAGCTACGTCATATAGTGATAAGCCCGTATGGCTAACAGAAAATATCGGTTGGAGCCAGGAAAAACACATTTTTTCTAATACCCCTCAATATTTGAAAGTCGCCTCTTAGAATTATTTGCAGCACGGTGCAATAATATTTTGTCGGGGTCATGAATACTGCAGCGCGAACACTAAAGAAGTAGCCATGACGAAAAGGATGGCCGAGAGGTAACCATGATAACTAAATATCTTAATCATACTTGTACGTTGTTATGGACTAGGTCAGTCCAAACACATCACGTTTCATGACGTGCGAGATGAAAGTTTCCTCTCGACACCACGGGAGAGCGCAAATATAAAATGAGAGGTCATACATCATTGGGAGAAATGTAGGTAAATGTAGTTCATGTTTTTATTAGCTTTGCACAATATACCAGCTGACAAAGCATGAAAAAAACAACACGAGAAAACTAACCAGTTCCACTTGCATCAACAGGAAAAAA